TGACAGTGTTCGTATTTTTTTGGAAGCAGTTCCTTAAAACTCTCTAGAGTAGTATGGTTTACTCATCACTTAGAATTATTTTGTTCTCTCAGTGTAAATAAGAAGTTTGAAAAATATCTATTATGTGAACATTTTTATGACACGTTTTAAGTGATTCATTCTATTCTTATCGTCGGAGAACAATGAACATATATAAGTCAAAATAGTTTATTTAAAAAAAAAACTTCATTTTTAAAGATTGATGCGAAGTGTTAGTTAGAATATTTCTGAAATGTTTATGATAGGATTAGACAAGTAAAGCACTTTATGAAGATGGTCTAATAACAATGTTTTAAAATCTGACTAAATTTCATTAAGTGTCTAGGAAACGATGAAATGACCCAAATGGATTAGTAAGATAGATCTTTATAGATAATTCATTAGAGTTCTCAATCCAAACATCAGTCGGTTCCACAGTATAGAAAAAGAGTGAGTTTTCCATTCGCTTCATATTTCAGACTTAATTTTTTTTCAATAGATTCATCAATGAGATGTTCACATACTATTTTTTCAATATATCTGACATCCATAAGTTCCCGAGACATTCTTGAAGTCAGTAGTGTAAGATAGACAATTTTCTAATATAGCTTTTTATTACTTTTCCGCTAAAGTTCTTGTATAGATACATTTCTTTCGATGCTACTTTTAGATGAAAAAGTGTACGAACTCGTTCCAGTTTGAATAGCTCGATGTATTTGAACCTTAAGTTCGGATTCAAAAGCATTGAACTATCAAAATTAGAACGAATTCGCACACTTTTTCATTTAAGAAAAGTAACATCGAAAGAAATGTATCTATACAAGAACCTAAGCAGGAAAGTAATAAATAGCTATATTAGAAAATTGTCTGTCTTACACTACTTACTTCAAGAATGTCCTGAGGAATGGTCCAGAAAGGAATAAAGATAATGATAAGAAACTGCCGTAAAAATGATTTAAGTTGTATACATTATTTTGTATTAAAGTTGAACCATTTTTTCTTCAATAAGTAAACCATTTTAATGCGTAATCCAGCAAGCATTTTTGGGGGTTATTTGTGACAGTTTTTCACCATTATAATTATGTAAGTTTTCGATCATTATAATGCCATTTCCCCATTGCTACTTTTGGCTGGGATAGAGCGCGTCCTGAGCGGATGTGAACAGGAGTTATTCTCCGACCTCCTTAGGATTCGTGAAGAAAAATTAGTATTTTTAAAAGTTGTGGACGAATGGTTTTAACTATCGTTAATCAGTTTTCGCTATTAGATAGAGCATGTTAAATTATACGTATAGCATAAATAAAGTCTTGGAAAAAATGTCAACCTATGCTAGACCATATTGCCAGCTTCTAAACCAATCAAATTTTTTTTTGTTGGAAAGAGCAAAGTCTGAACTACAAGTTTTGTATCAG